CACCACGATTTTTATTTCCTGCCCGGAGATCTGGCTGCGTCGCCCACCTGGCTTCACTGGGTCGTTTCCTCCTGGTACCCAGTGGAGCCTCCGGCGGCCAGCCTACGGTCTCCGCCAGGCGCCCCGTGAGTGGCACGACACACTGAGGACTACACTTGCGGCTCTTGGGTTTGCTCCTTCTACTGCCGACCCGTCGCTGTTTCTGCGCACCGACACCTCTCTGCCGCCGTTCTACATCCTCGTGTACGTCGACGACTTGGTCTTTGCCACTGCTGACACTGCTGGACTCGCCCACGTGAAGTCCGAGCTGCAGAAGAGACACACGTGCACAGACCTGGGTGAGCTGCGCAGCTATCTTGGCTTGCATATCACCCAGGACAGAGCACAGCGCACCATTACCCTGACTCAGTCAGACATGGTGCAGCAGGTCCTTCAGCGCTTCGACTTCACGTACTCCTCGCCTCAGGCCACTCCTCTGTCTACTCGCCACTCGCTCTCAGCTCTGCCTTCGGATGAGTCCGTAGAGCCGAGTGGCCCGTACCCAGAGCTTGTTGGCTGCCTCATGTACCTGATGACCTGCACACGGCCTGACCTCGCTTACCCTCTTAGCATCTTGGCACGCTATGTTGCTCCTGGGAGACACCGACCAGAGCACATGGCTGCAGCGAAGAGGGTGTTGCGTTACTTGTGTAGTACGTCGGGCATGGGGCTAGTGCTTGGAGGGCGGCGTTCAGTGGTCCTCACAGGTCACGCAGACGCTTCTTGGGCTGACGACCAGGCTACGCAGCGGTCGTCACAGGGTTACACCTTCAGCCTTGGTTCCGGCTCTGTTTCGTGGCGGTCTACCCGCTCGTCTTCTGTTCTCGGCTCCAGCTGTGAGGCTGAGATCTACGCGGGGGCCATGGCTGCACAGGAGCTACGCTGGCTCACCTACCTGCTGACTGACCTAGGAGAGCAGCCTCGTTCTCCTCCAGTTCTGTACGTAGACAACAAGGCCATGCTGGCCTTGTGTCGGGAGCACAGACTGGAGCACAGAACGAAGCACATTGCTCTTCGTTACTTCCTTGCTCGTGAGCAGCAGCAGCATGGTCAACTGCGCCTTGCTTACGTGGCCTCTGAGGCCAACACTGCTGATATCTTTACCAAGGCCCTTCCGCCTTGTGACCATCAGCGGTGCTGTACGATGCTAGGTCTTGTGCCTACTTGGCCTCACTTGCTCACTTCTTGACCTTGCTTGTACTGTGATCTTTCTATACCTGCACTTGCTTGTTTACCTTTCTATATGATCTTGCATGTGAACTGGCCTTGTGGCCTTGAACTTGTGCTCGGAATGTGTGGTGACGTTGTGATCCACCCTGAGCTTGCGTTGCTTTGCTTGACTGGTCTTGTGGCCCCTTGTTCTCCCCCACTCTGCCTATGGGGGTGTGTCAGATTTATATGATTTAGCCTGTGTAGGCTATAGTGGGGTAGCACATATGGGGTACAATATTTCTAGGGTTTGTACTTGTACCCAACCTCCCACTAGTCAATCATTCCTCGTTTCTTCACACTGGGAGATGCAGTAACAAACTCTGGAAGGTGAATTGATGAGAGAAGAATCCTATTTCCCAATTGATTAGTTGGGGATAGGAAGTGAAGAATGAGCTAGCTTGACTCAGACCCCTCCCTAGACCCCCTTGGGGTGCAGCCACCTTCCCCATGGCAAGGAAAGGTGCACCACCATGGGTCTTTGCCCATGTGGCAATGGTTGGAGTTCCCAACCAATTAGACAATAGACAGCAAGGATAACAATGCACACTTATCACAAACCTGAGTTGTTGCATTGGATGCAATTTCAAGGAAGAGTCGAGTTGGATTTAGGTTGGCTATTTCTGATTGGTTCTATTTCCAACCAGCGGCGGAAGTTCCGTCGACTCACTTCGTGTGAGTATGTTATGTTCTGCTTGGTTGGACAAGGGTGGTGTTTGAACTTACGTGGGTTGTTTTCGAACCTAGTATCGCGTAAATTCTGTCACATTTGTATAGCAGAGTTTTGATTGGCTAGTTTTCCAATCAAGTCAATCCCAAATTCCTCGCTTCCGATCAAACTCCAACCAATCATGTTTCTCCCCTTGTATCCCCCTCACAGCTGGTTCGACGTATAGAGACCAGGTGGGTGGGTCAAGATGTTACAATGGCGGTCAATCGAGGCGTCATTCTGTAGTTGCTGTTGTCTACCAGATCGTACTTGTTATGCGCGGAAAAGTCGACGGGAAGGGCCGTCTCTATGTGCTACTAATGTCTTAGCATGGTACGGAGATGGGCATAACTATGCTAGGCTAACAACGAGAACTGGGGCTATGGAGCTCACTGAGCTACGAGTCTAGGAAGGTATTTTCGGGTTTCAAGTTCTGAAAGTGTGAACAGTGATACTTGTTCTTGTGTGTTTCAGGCGACGCTCGTTGCTGTTTTTGCTGTGGAGCATTAGGCCAATCACCTTCTGGCCCACCAACCCCTTTCTCGGTGGGTGGCGAGGGAGAAGCTTTTGTCAAGATAGCAAGCAGAAATGATTGCATTGAATGAAATGTGGGTATAATTACTAACCCTAACTTCGGGCTGTACCCCATATGGGCTACACCACTATAGCCTACACAGAACTAACACATATATAGTTCGACACACCCCCATAGGCAAAGTGGGGGAGAACAAGGGGTCACAAGACCAGTCAAGAAGAGCAAAACAAGCTCGAGGTGGATCACAACGTCACCACACACTCGAGCACAAGCAAAGGGCCACAAGGCCAGGTCACATGCAGAGTATATATGCAACAACAACAGTACAGTGATCACTACCCAGCAAGAGCAAGCATGCAAGTATATATATAGATCACAGTACAAGCAAAGTCACGAAGTGAGCAAGTGAGACGAAACACGCACAAGGCCTAACATAGTACAGAAGCGCTGATGATCACCAGACGGAAGTGCCTTGGTGAAGATATCAGCAGTGTTGGCTCGAGTGGCCACGTGAGCAAGACGAAGCTGACCACGCTGCTGCAACTCTCGAGCCAGGAAGTAACGCAGCGCGATGTGCTTCGTTCTGTGCTCCAGTATGTGCTCCTCACACAAGGCAATGGCGGCCTTGTTGTCTACGTACAGAACGAGGCCGCTCTCCCAAGTCAGTCAACAGGTAGGTGAGCCAGCGTAACTCCTCTGCAGCCATGGCTGTGGCGTAGATCGCAGCCTCACAACTGGAGCTGAGAACAGAAGACGAGCGGGTAGACCGCCAAGAAACAGAGCCCCATCCAAGGCTGAAAGTGTAACCCTGTGACGACCGCTGCGTAGCCAGGTCGTCAACCCAAGAAGCGTCTGAGTGTCCAGTGAGGACAACTGAGCTCCGCCCTCCAAGCACGAGCCCCATGCCCGATGTACTGCACAAGTAGCGCAGTACCCTCTTCGCAACATCCATGTGCACCTTTCGGTGCCTACCAGGAGCCACGGAGCGTGCCAGAAGGCCAAGAGGGTACGCAAGGTCAGGACGAGTGCAGGTCATCAGATACATGAGGCAGCCCACTAGCTCTGATACCATGTCAAGATAGCAAGCAGGAATGATTGTATTGAATGAAATGTGGGTACAAGTACTAACCTTAACTTCGGGTTGTACCCCATATGGGTTACCCCACTTTAGCCTACACGGAACTAACACATATTTAGTTTGACAGCTTTCTCAACCCGGTTACCCTGTTCTTGACGAACTCAACTTCAAAAATCTTGAAGTTGAACCCTTACCATTCTAGTCCCGGGGTTAAAAACAAAGATCAAGGAGTACAAATAGACATTGTTACGCCCACAGTGTTGATCCAAGCTAAAATAAATGCCCACGGGCAAACCAGGTAGGACTATATCAGAGCGAGGTTTCGATCCTCGGACCTGTGGGTTATGGGCCCACCACGCTTCCGCTGCGCCACTCTGATATGTTAAAAATTTGCTATAGAAGATTATATATTGTTGACCAGCTCCAGTTGTATTGATCATTAGAATATTACATTCAGTCAGTCAGTAAATGTGTGCACTAGTCAATTCGTCAACAGAGACTCAAAGTTCATGTAGGTCAACAATCAGTCAGTCATTGTTATCTCAGTGCCACTGGCTGTACAGCAAGTATCGATCGCACTACATGGCCCCTCTCATCCATCCATACCACGCTACCGTATGAAAACGCTCCTGTCGGGGACGCTTTGAGCACCGTCAGGTTCACACTATACGTCACCATTTGCCCGGGCTTTATCGTGAACTTCATCGGCTTCACCACAACCTTCACATTACCCGGAAACATCGCTATCTTCGCCTCGTAAGTGCTCGTGGACTTGGACACGCTCGTGACCGAACGTTTCACCAGCACGGAGCCTCTCAGCCATCCGATGGCGATTGATGGACGGTTGAGCCTGTATGCTTTTTTCGGCTGGAGCTTCCACTTGGGCCAAAGCTTCTTTGCTCGCGTCATGCTTTGCCCTGCTAGGAAGTTCAGGTAACTGTATATCCCTGCGTTAAATGTCAGTCCAGGGTCAAGAATGGATGGAGGGTAGATATGGCCTTGGCCCATGTCCCAAGGCGTCGCAATTTTGCCCAAGGCTGTTCGAATGGGAAGGTAGACCAGGGAGGAATTGGTGGTGGTGCTTGAGGCTGTGGCTTTGTGTCTGCTGCTTCTCCTACGGCTTCTGCTGCTGCTGCTGCTGCTGCTGCTGCTGACAATCTCTCTCTTATACCTGCTAGTTCCAGAATTTCTTCTGCCACTCCCAGAGTCAGCAGCTAGTGAAAGCCTCAAACTGTCCTCTCCTTGCACTCCCAACCCTCCCCCTCCCGCCTTGCCCTTTTCCAGCCTCTCCGCCCTTACTATCCACCGACTCCTCTCCAGACTCCGCACAGGCCTTCCCGTCACAGGCTTCCCCGGTACAGGCCTCCCTGTTATAGGCCTCCTCGTCACAGGCCTCTCCGGTTCAGGCGTCCCTGTTATAGGCCTCTTCGTTACAGGCCTCCCCGGTACACGCCTGGAGACTCCAGGCACTGGCTGCAGCGGCGGCAGTCCCCGGCCTGGAACACCGTCCACCACACCCCTACCAGGAGGAGAATTCCCATGCGCTCCTCGAGGCCCTCTGGGCTGACTTGGCCGCAGCTGGGGCTGCTGCGGGTGCTGCAGGTGCAGCGGGTCCTGTGGTTGCAACGCCATGGGGCTTCTTGGCTTGACCCGGGCTGTGTTTCTTGCTGGTTGGGCATATGAGCTTCTGGCGGTGGTGAGAATGGCAGACATGACCTGAGCGGGTGACCACCCCGGGTGCGCCTGAACGACCATGGCTGCGATGCCAGCCACGTGGGGGGTAGCCATGGATGTTCCGGAGAGGAGAGCGAAAGAGGGTCGCGTGCGTGTGATTGCTGTTGGTCTCGACCGTGCATTGTCTGAGAGTATGCTGTTGTTGGTGCGGGATAGGCCAAAGCTGTTGTTGTTGCTGCTGCTGCTGCTGCTGCTGCTGCTGCTGCTGCTGCTGCCAATGCCTCTGCTGCCGCTGCTTCTGCTGCTGCTGTTCTTGTTAAACTCCCTGCTTCCACTCACACTGCGTCCCCTCCCGGCATCACCGTCAGCACCTCCGCTCCTCACCTCCTCCCGTCTCGGCCTAACAACAGCCATGGGCGAAATAGGGCTGCGTCTCTGCCCAGTCCACGCAGCCCAGATATCCACCCCAGGAGCAACCACATCGGGCTTTAAGATGTCATTCGTGGGGTAAGGCGCGGTCGCGCCGAACCTCGGGTTCACCGTGGGGCCTGTGGAGGAGAACGGAGCAATCATGGGCGGCGCGGCGTTTTCCAAAACGTGGCACCGGGCCATGATGGTCGCAATCGGTTTGGGTGTGCTCTGGATGTAGGCTCGGACGATCCGAGCCTGCGCGAGAGTGACGTGGATGAACGGTATGGGAGCTCCGGCGGTGGCAGAGAGGGTGTTTAGGTCGATTAAGCCTCCGTCTTCGTTTGCCAGGATCATGGCTACTCCTCCGGCTGCTGCCACTGAGCGCAGCTTGTCTTGAACCCCCACCATCCCGCGCGTGCAGAGGATTATGGCGCCCCGTGCTCGTGCAGGGGAGAGTGATTCCGGTAAGCAGTGGGTGGCCTGGTGTGTGTGTGGGGGGAAGGGATGGGATGGAATGGGATGGGATGGGATGGGATGGGATGGGATGGGATGGGATGGGATGGGTTGGGATGGGTTGGGATGAGATGGGAGTAGCCGGTTGGCGGCAGCATGAGCATGAGGATTAGCACGAGCGAGCAGAAGCAGAGCAGGCAGCAGACACGTCCACCCACATCCCCACCACCCGCAGAGGTGACTCAGTGTCAGTTCAAACCCCAGCACGAGCAGCAACTCACCCCTTCCGGTGAGCTGTCGGGGCGGGCAGCTTCGGCAGTAGAGAGCAGTGGTAGGTGGCTCGTTTTAACTTGTCTCAAACCACCCCCCCCCCCCACCCCTCCCCCTCCCCCCATCGCACCCCCAGCACGAGCAGCAACTCACCCCTTCCAGTGAGCTGTCGGGGCGGGCAGCGTCGACAGCAGAGAGCAGCGGCAGGTGGCGCGTGGTATACGTGCCCGAGCCCACTCCAGAGGCGTACACCACCCTGCCGCTGCCCAGCCTCAGCTCCGTGAGGAACCGACGGCCTATGGAACTGCCAGAAGTGGGAGGGGGTATGGGAGAGGGGAGGCGTATGAGCCAACTCCAGAGGCGTACACCACCCTGCCGCTGCCCAACCTAAGCTCCGTGAGGAACCGGCGGCCTATGGAGCTGCCAGAAGCCGCATGGGAGCCGCATGGGAGAGGGAGAGGAGGGTAAAGCAGAGGAGAGGCGTGTGAGGCAGAGAGACCACTCCAGAGGCGTACACCACCCTGCCGCTGCCCAGCCTCTCACCTCTGTGAGAAAGCGTTGTTCCGTGAGGCTGTGAGTAGCAGGGTGGGTGGGTAAGTGGGAGAATGGTGGGATTCTCAGTAATTGGGGGGTGTGGGTGTGGAGGAGAGGGTCAAATGGAAGGGCTGGAGTGGGGTTTGATAGTGGAGGGAGAGAGACGAGAATAGAGGAGGCGGTTAGAACAGAAGATAGGCATCACCGAGCAAGCTGGCACACCCATTTTGATGTGTGAACTCACACCGGCATGAAAACCACATAATCACACACTCACATCCCGGCCACCCCAATCAAACTTTTGACCGCCCAATCACACCCCAGCCGTTCCACGTACCTTGCCCCCACAGTCAGGTAGAACGGCGAGAAGTTACTAATCGTTCGGTAGATCCCGAACCTGTTCCACAGCCCCAGGTTCGGCGCCGGGCCTTGATTCCCCGCCGCCGTTACCACCACCATGCCTGCCTGATTCGCCAGCAAATACAACAAATCGTCAAAGTAATGCTGATCCGGACCCAAACCCCCGAGCGAGAGCGAGAGCACGTCAACCCCGTCTTTAATCGCCCGGTCTATGGCATAATGCACGTCCGCTAGCTCGCCGTAGCCGGCTAGAGTGGCATTGGTCCAGAGGACTTTGTAGACTGCCAGGTGCGCGCCGGGTGCCATGCCGCTTGCGATGCCGAGCGAGCGCACGGGGGGCCGCTCGGATGTGAGTACGGGCGTGCCGCCCGTGCCTGCTGCTGTGCTGGTGAGGGTGGGGCGGGGGGGGGGCGGGGTGGGGTGGGGTGGGGTGGGATGGGATGGGGTGGGATGGGATGAAATGGGATGGGATGGGATGGGGTGGGATGGGATGGGATGGGATGGGAGGGGATGGGATGGGATGGGAGGGGATGGGATGGGGTAAGATGGGATGGGATGGGAAAAATGGAAACGGAGGGGGAAGAAGTGGAGAAGAAGATCAGCTAGGTGGTGCCAGTGCCTCGGAGAAATGGGTGAGATAGGAGGGAGGGAAAGGAAGGGAAGGGAGCGGGGGTGTTAGCTTTTAGTGTCCCTTGACTCACGCGGACACCGCTAGAAGTGCCATGGGTGTTACTTTTGAGAATTCCCAATAGTAGCATGGGAGCATGTGCATCCGTTGCTCTCTCTGGTCTTGCCTTGCGCACCCCCCTTACCCTGCACACCACGTCCCGTGGCCGTCCGCGTCGCGCGGCGAGCGGAAGTCGTATTGCGTGTCGACCACGCCGCCCTGCGCCTCGTACGCGCGCGAGAAGAAGCGCGCGCCCACCAGCTTGCGCGTGCACCGCGACGCGGGGAAGTCGCGCGTGCGCACGCACTTGCCCGCCCACCGGCGCGGCGGGAGCGGGTACACGTGCGAGGACTGGAGCGGATGGGGAATCAATGTGGGGTGGATGGGAGAAGGCGGATTGGGTTTGGGGGTAGGGTCGTGCCTGGGTGCGTGGGTGGGTGCTTGCATGTGCGTGCGCATCCGTGGGAAGGGGAGGAGTAGATAAGTTCCTCATGCGCCAGTGCCCTAAACGCGCATTCTTATACCCGAGAAGCAAGCAGAAGAAACAGGGAATCAACTATCTCCCTTGGATGGAGTCTGCGTGGAGTAACCTGTGTGGTATAAAGAACTAGAAAAGGCAATCTCACGTTGGCTACTCGGAAGGAGGGATGCTCGGGCCATATTCCCGTGTCCACCACGCCGATCACCACTCCTTCACCTGCCCGGCTCCCCCCGCCGCTAGAGGCCCACATGGATCCGGGCAGCTGCAAAAATCTCGGCGTGTAGGTGGTAGCCGACCGGACGCCGTAACTCCTGGTGACGTCAGCGACCATGGCGTGGCGCTTTAATCTCCTAACGTCCGCTTGAGTGAGGCGCGCTGCGAAGCCATTGGCTGCAAATTTGTAACTGAATGAGACAAGCAGGGGGCGGGAGGTGGAAAAGGGGTGGGAGACACGCTGAGAGAGGAGGGGAAGGGAACGAGCAGGGTGGGTGGGGCGGGGAGGGGGAAAGTGGGGGCCCGGCCGGCCGGGCCCAGCGGGGAAACACGCGGGGGAAAAGGCATTACCATCCGACTATCCTTGCTTCTCTCGACCCAGCAACCCCACCAGCAGCTATTCCCGCTCGTACGGTGCACCACCTGCCGTGTGCTGAATGTGAGTCGACCCAAAACGAGCACGTCACCCCGCACACCCAAGTCCGTGACGGACCCACCAGTTACCAACGCCGCCCGCTCTCCACAGCAACACCTGCTGCTGCACTGTTGCATGATTCGACCCATATATGTCACCCATCCACCCAAATATCGCCCATCGCACAACGGTCCACAGCCCCCAGCGGAGAGACAGCCCCGCGCGCACCTGTACAGCATGTTGCGCTCGCTCACGCGGGTCTCCGCCGCCACCACCTGCTCCTGCTGCTGCCACTTTTGCTTGATCCAATCCCAATTCCAATCCCAATCTCACTCATCAACCATGCACCCAAAAACTCGCTAAACGGTCCACTGGCACAGCCCCCACCTGTAGAGCATGTTGCGCTCGCTCAATCGGGTCTCCGCCACCACCTGCTGCTGCTGCCGCACCAGCATGCGCGCAAACGCCTTCACGTGCGCCGCCTGCACGTTCACGCGCACTCCGCGCGTCGCCGGCACGGGTCCCCGCAGAACCTCCTTCCCAACCCCGCCGCCGGTGTTAGTCCGCGGCTTGACACTAACGCGGATACCCGCCATTGCTGGAACATCCAACTCGGCATTGCCATCATTATCATCTCCGTAATTATCCCCGTCGTCCCCGTTATAGTCATCATCGTCCAACTCGTCATTCTCTTCCGCGTCAGCCGCGCTCGTCATCGCGTGAGGTTTAACTCGTTTTTCATTCCCCCTCGCTGCGGCTACTGCTGCTGCTTCAGCGACAACTGCAGGGGAGGCGGTCGCGGGGAAACCGGGGATTCCGCCGACGTATGCGGGAATGGCGGGCGCGGAGTGCAGGCGGACTATGTAGACGGCGGGATGGCCACCTGAAATAGGGAAGCGACGTAAGGGAGTGGGGGAAGAGGGGGTCGGGAGTGGTGGAGGAAAGGGGAGATGGACGGGAGGAAGGGCAGGAGGAACGGGGTGAGTGGCTTTAGTAAGGAAAGGGGAGGCGAGAGAGGGGCGCAGGGCTGTGGGGACGAAATGGATGGCGGAAGGGTGAGGAGACACAGCCGCAAATTGGAGAGAGGAAGAGATTGTAAGAGACAGCAGCAGAGGCGGACATACCTGGAACGTCCCGAGAGTCGACGGTAAGTGGCAAGAGATGCAGCAAGAGGAGAGCACAGCGAAGCAGCCACGCGCTGCCGAGCCGACAATAAAGCCCCCTATTCTCTCCTCCCCGCCGTCCCGGCCCTCGCTGCCACCCGCTACCGTGCCACTGCCGCTGCCTCTGCCCCTCTTGCCGCACTCGCCGCACTCGCCGGACCCGCCGCTCCTGCTGGAAAGCGCACTTCTGTTCCTCGTCGCGTTGTCTCCATCTCGCCCTTCCGTTTCGCATTTCTCTACCACTCGCTTTATGCCTCGCCCTCATTTCTGCCCGTCGTCTCCCTCTCTGCTTCTCTCTCTGCTCCCTGCCACGCAGCTCTTCGTTTTGCCACTCTATCGTGCGTTGCGCGTCGTGCTGCCATGGACGCGAGAAGCACGGCTCCGTGAGTTCCGACCGCCGCTGATCCCTCGTCTCGTTAGGCTTCTCTACGCAACGCCATCGCTGCTTGTGTGTCATGCAATGCTGCTTTAGCTCTACCGGCGGAGTCTGACGTTTGCACGGGAGAGTTATCTTTACCATGGCTTTAACCATGGCTTTTGGAGGAAGTAGTAGGCTATACAAGTCGCATCGTTAAGCTTAGGTGTCTGCGAGATAGTACCGTAGCCAACTCCTCGCTCCTAGTAATCATTGCTGGTTTTGCACGATAACAAGTGGTGGCCGAATTACTCAACGTGACATGCTTGGTTGGCTTTTACTCCTATGTCGGTACTCTGTAGTTTTCTGCTGGCGTACGCCTCGTCGCGCATTTCCTATGTTCGCATTAAGAGCATTTGTAAGACTTTCTAAACACGACCACCGCCACGAAATCACGTACTTACCACCTCCATCAATCTTTGGGAGCTCGGTTCTCTTTGCTACTGCATGTACTTACTACTACCTCGCCCGTTGTGTGCAACAACCAGCTCAAGCAAGCTTCGAGTCTTGTTGCTCCAGCGGCCAAATAAGGAACGGCCAAGCATTTCATGGAATGTCCACTCTCAAATCGGAAATGCGGTTATGTGCGACACGAACCGAACCAACCTGGGCAGGTGCACCAATGGGAGACCTGCATTTTCCAAACCTTTCCATGAGTGGTTCTCATGGGCAACCTTTGAAATTTTCGCTGGAGGAGCGGGCTGCCCGACGCAGCCATAGCACGTCCCTGGGTTCGGTGGGGGTTCGTGGGAATTGGCACGTCAGCAGCGCCCCTTGAACTGGCGAGGCAAGGAAAATTTGTAGCGACGTGAGCGATGTTCGTCGTGGGGTAGTTTTTGCAATGCGAAATGACTTTTCTCGACCAAAGCATCCATCGCGCAGGTTTAGTAACCAGAATCAGTTTCCACGTCCCAAGCACCAAGCCAAGGGCGATAGGATGCGGTGCGTCGGTGTACGGCAGAATTAATTCTCTCGATGCAGTTTTCCTTCTTACAACGTTTTATGCAAAATCACCTTCAAATACAAAGCACCAGACGAAGCTGTCTACTATCTTGATGCTGAATCCCCATTCTTCAATTCCAAAATGCTTTCGAGCATCAACTTCCTCTCACCAAGGCTCTTCACGCCTAAATCGTCCCTTAACTCGGACATTGTCAGGTTGAGCAGAACCTGTAAACAAAGAAGCAGCACAGCTCCGCATTTAGCTGCATGAAAACACCAAAACGAGAACGAAACAGATCAGTGCGGTGAACCACTCACCCCACCACAGACGCGTTGTTCCTTGAAAGTGTCTGCATATGCACCAAAGCCTTGCAGCTCAAGCCAGGAAGCCACCTGGTCTACAGACCAAGAAGATGGATCTCCTGCCAAACACAGCCACAAGCACAAGCACAATACAACAAGCAAAGAGGCCACAAATGAATAAGGGAGTCCTTGTCAATATCTCGCACGGTTCCAACAGTCCCATCCCATGCCTAGAGTTAGAAACAGCATAAAATTAGTCAAAGTGACCCCTTATCAGAATGCAGTCAGTCACCTAAAGCCATGAAATAGCAAGCACTCACCCATCTTCCGCACACTCTTCTCAATCAGCTTCTCGTCAAACTTCTTCATCCGCTTCCGCTCCTCCTCCTCCAGCCAAACCCCTGTCCCACTGCCACTCCCCTTCTTACTACCATCACGCTTGTTATCGTTACTCATAAAAATGGTTTCCGTTTCACCTCCTGCATCCCTTCGACCCCTGGTCCTCCTCTCATCGTCACTATCCTCCTCGTCCTCACTGCACTCAATGTAGTCTACCCACTTCTTCCATTCATTATCCTCACTTGAAGCGCCATTGAACCACCTCCTCACGCCCAGCTTATTCAGTGCCTTCTTCATCTTCTCCCGCTCCTTGGGGCTCAATTCAAGGTAATCCATCATCTCGCTTTCAAAATCACTGCTGCGCTTCCCTCTCTTCCCCCGCCTTCCACCGCGACCGGCTTTACCACTGCTGCGGGAACTGGATCCGCGATTGAGCAGCCCAAGCGACCATGCCGCTCCTAGTATAGTCGCGATGAGGGCGAAAGCAGCCCCTGCGGTCCCCACCGCGGCTGCTATTCCGAGCTGTATCGCGGGGATGAAGAGCGGAAGCGAGAACAGCAAAACGAAGAATGCGATAGGGAGGATGACGGAAACCGCGACCATGGCGAAGGTAATCGCGACGACCGCTTTCAGTGCGGCTCCGACCACGAACACAGCGGCAAACGCGGCGACGATTGCGGCGACCACGGGACTGAAGATCCCGAGAAACGCGCGGGGCTGGCGAAGGGACACCGAGCTCGCTCCGCGGCCTGACCACACGTTGGGAGAGAAATCAGTTTGCTGATCGTACGCGCGTTTGCGAAACTGCATGGACTGATCGCTAGCGGTAAACGCGGACGTGAGTGCAGGCGCGGCCCAAGGTGACAGCAACGAGGGGATTGATTCTCGCCGCGGCGGGTGGCTGTGGATTCTCGTGAAGTGGGTGGCTGCTCCATGGGCTGCGTTAGTAGCGCTGCTGCTGCTCCAGGGTGACGACGCGCCCGACGCGGACGATGCGGCGAAGGATGCGGACCTCGTTGTCGGAAAGTAACGACTGGTTGGACTCCCGACGACCGCGCCGTGCGTAAGAGCCCGAGTCTTTGCCGGCATTCCCGCCGCGCCGCTGCAGGGATTACTGGTGGTTGTAGTATTGGTGGAACGGAGGGAGGAGTGTGATGCGCGGCGCGGCCTCGCGACGAGAGATGAGTGGCTCGCGCTCGTAGTACTGATCTGGAATCGGTATCGTTGATTGCGGAAATTCAACGCCGGCTTAGCTGGAACAGATTGCACAACAGCCTGGTGCGCTCCGAGCATTGCGCCTGCGAACACGCCCATCGCCGCGTCCCACTTTACTGTCCAAGGCACCGTGGTAGTAGTAGTGGTTGCAGAATCTCACGGTATGGTAGACGCTAGCGCTTCTACTACTCGTCGGCAACACCCAGGATGAGGTGAGGCACACAAGTGCTACTACTTCTACTCGCGCTAATGCGGGCGATGAAAAGTAACGGCCGCCGTCACGTCCGCGGCGCCACGCAACGGTGGCTCACCTGGAATTACGCTAGTGCTGACGACGACCTCAAGTCGGGATAATCCGGTATAAGCTTACGGGGAGTCTAAGGAACAAGGCGGGGGGGAACCAGCGAGACCACAACGCACGACGACGAGAGCAGGCTTGCCTGGTTAGGGAGCTTCTCATAAGCGACCGGCGGAGCAGAATAGGTGATAAGAAGAATACGTTGATGATGTCATACCACGCACGCGGCCCGTGCCGGCTGGCCTGAGGCAGGGCGTATCTATGGCTTCGCTTTGGTGTCATCAACAGCGAGTAGTACCGGTCGGATCGGGTCGGGTCTGGTGGGTAGCGGCGAAAGGGCAGGATGGCGTGCAGCAGAAGCAACTGAGGTAAGGAGCCGTACGCGGTACACGCTGCTCGCGAATATGCAGCTCAGTCTTTCCCTGCTTACATATACGTCATTAAATCCGGACTTGACTTATTTTCTTGATATTTCTTGTCTCACTCCACCCTGATTTCAATAATGCTGATTCACTGGACTTTTTCCCTAATAAAAATACAAGGTTTCATATCAATCTCAAGGGTAAAACACCAGTATGAACCCTGATCATGTACATACTAACTTTTGTTCCTATTGCTCAAATCTGACTCATTATACACTGGTTTGGTCTGTAGGCTGCCGTGGGGCACTTGTGGGTCTAAATACCGTACCCATGGCACTCATGCACGAGTCACAACTTGCTCGCTGCCCTGCCTTGCTGCTGCTGATGCACGAAGCCGTGCGATCAGCCTTCTAGCGGCTGGGGAGGGGAGCATGCCAGTGCAGGCATGTGGGTGGGATGTGGAACAGGAGGAAGGTGAGAGTGGGGACGAGGAGGTGAGGGAGGAGTGGGACCAGTTGCGACGAGGAGGGGGATGGGGCTTAAGATGGTGAGGCGGATTAGTGGAGGGTGATAGGGAGAGAGAGGAGCATGAGGAAGACGGGGAGGAGAGAAGTTGCGAAGAGGATGGAGAGGAGTCGAACGAAGCTGAAAGGCTGGAGTAGGAGTCAGGGGATGTGTTTTGCTGCTGTTGCTGCTGCTCCCTCTTGCTGCAGGGAATAGCATCGCCACACCATTGGCCAGAATAGATAGCATTCGAGCACCTCCCGTCAGTGTCACTGCAGTATTTGTCAGCATCAGCATGCAGGTCGATGACCCGCCTCACCTGCACAATGCCGCTGAATGATACGCGCCTCACGAGCTTTCGAGTGGCAGCAAAAGGCGGGCTCTCCAGTTTCGGATTGAAGCACGAGCTTTTCGGATTCAGGCCCGGCCGAACCTGATCTTCTGATTCGGAAGAGCTCAGCTGGTCTGCAATGGACTCAAATCTGCCTCTAGGTCTGGATTTAGGGCTGCTGACGGGGCTTGTGCCGGGGCTATTGGACAGGTTCGGGCGCAGGGCAGGAGCGGAGTATCTACGGACGAGCTCACGCTCGGGAACCACAGTGGCTGATTGTGAACGCTGGATATGGGAAGAGTGGGCGGATGGGAAGCCATGGGAAGAGTGAATGCGGTTGGCGGAGGAAGGGGATTCTTTTGCAGAAGCAGAAACAGAACAGGTTGACAGGAACGCAGGAGCGGCAGCAGAAACTGGAGAGGATTGAAGGGAGGGGGTGAAAGGAGGAGAGGTGCGAGTGGAGGGAGCAGCGGAATGAGGCAAATTGGGGGCCGGGGTGAGCTGCCAGAGAGGCAGGGAAGTGCTGCGAGGGAAGCTGCGGGAGGCAAGCGATGGTTGGGAGGGGCGAGGAGGAATGGGGCACCTCGCGTTGGGTGGCATGACGCGCAGGTGATGATGATGATGGCGGCGCTGCCTGCGCTGCTTCTGCTGCTCATCCTGGCCATGCTGCAACGCTCGCGCAAAGCTTGTCGATGCGCCAGATGCTGATGCTGTTGCTGCTCCTGCTGCTGCTGCTGCTGTTGCTGCTGCTGCTGCTGCTTCTCTTGCTGCTGTTGCTGCTCCTGCTGCTGCTGCTTCTGCTGATGCTGCTGCTGCTGCTTCTCTTGCTGTTGTTGCTGCTCCTGGAGCTCTTCTTGGGATCTGCCGTAGCGCTACCTTCACCTGAGCCGCCTCGCAAGCTGGAAGAGAGGTGGCATCATGATAGCCTTGGGACCAGCAGCCGGCCATGATGTTGCGAGGCAGGGAGCGCGCCACGGGAGAGCCTCGCGTGATGTGCATGTGAGTGGAATCGGCGCCATGGCGGTTGTTGTCACAACGGTTGTAGCCCCTCGCAGTCCTTGTCGTTTGAGGCCGCGCCTCAACGGTCCTCGTCGTCGTCCCAGTCTGCATCTGCATAGTAGGAGCCTTGATGTGGGCAGCCGCCGTCTTGTCGTCAGCAGTAGTAGCAGCACGGGTCTGCTGCTCGGATTCATAACACGCCCATGACGCGGCGCCATTGTAGCAGTAGTAGCAGCAGTAGTAGCAGTTGTACGGAGTACGCCGCTAGAGGCACTGCCGAGGCGGTTCGGAGCCGCACAAGGCTTCTAAGACTTTGAGTCACAGTCACCTAGGAGGAGATCTCCGAGTCAGAACTCTTGTAGTGGCTCGCTAGTTACTGAGTCGGAGGTCCCCTCGTGAAGCAGTTTAGGAGTCGGAGTTGGGCTGGGGGAAGGCGGCCGATACTCCAACTTCGAGTCTTGGAAACCTTTTCCGTGAGAAGAATGTTTCCTTCTCGTGCAGAATAAATGGATATGCTGCCGCTGTTCTCATTCTCGCCATCTTATTTCTGCTGAACCGAGCGAATCCGGCCGCAAGCAATGGGCGGGTGTGGGGACAGGGTAGCAAAAGCCAAAATCCAAAAGCCAACAAGCCAAGAAGCCAAAAGGCCAAAAGCGCCAGTGGGGCGTCGTCATCAGGACGGAATGTGCAAGGAAGCTGCGTGCGCCGCGTCGTGTGGACTCTTACGTGGCGTAATGTGCGCCTCAAACAAAGTTCGAACGAGGATTGCGTCGTGTAAGCCATGGTGTTTGTAGTACTACTCAAGGTCAAGGGATTACTGTACAGTGAAGAAACCGAGGGCTTTCCAAGAGATCCGTCGCGACTCGAGGCTCGTGATAATGTAAACGAGTGGTGACTCACGACGAGCCAACAGGCGGCCTCTCACGAGTCACGGTTGAATCATGGTGCGGCAGTCACGTGACTGCCCCAGTCGAGCCTGTTTTAGGCGTTGGCGCGCGGCTCTGGTCGGCGCGAACGCGGCAATCGCGGTGTCTTATCGTCGAGCTGGCGAGACGCCGTCTCAGCCTGACACCCACCATTGGCGCCGTACAAACCTGCTCCGGCCGAGCCGCGCACAGAAACAACCGGATGCCACAAAATCGATGTGATGTCGCTTTTCAGCTGCTACGGTACTATCGAGATCATTCGTCCTCCATCGTTTTCTACCAATCCATGAAACCGCGCTGTGACTCGTTCAACGATCATGCTAGCAGGCGGTTCTGGTGTGATAGCCGGGTGGGGAAGCAAAGATTCTATGGCTGACTGGAGGGTGGCCAGAATTGGCACGAGTATTCAGTGCATGTGCTGTGCATGTCTATCAACTCACCACCACCACCACCACTGCCACCACTAATCTTCACCACCACCTTTGCTGACTCAGAATGGAGCAGATCGAAACATGCCATGCCGACACGGGGATGAGGTCTGGTTTGAAGGATTGCAGTGCGGCACAATCCCTAACAGGCAATGCCCAATAGGCCACCACCACTCAATCCCATTGTGAAGTCCCCGCCTGTATGCAAAGTACTGTACCGACCATGTTGTTTTAGCCTAAGATCCTAATAAACAAGACTCGATTTGTGCAATGTAACAAGCAAGCTAGGAGTTAAAAAAAATCCTGGTACACTAAGCGAAGACAATCTGCCACAGCTAGCAAGTGCCTGAAAGCCCGTCCATCCTGCAATCTCCGTTTCACACAATCTATTCACCATCCTAACTGTACAAGTTTATTTATTTAGAACTTCCAACTTCATATTACATCGGGGTGCACTGAACAAAATCACAATAAAGCTCTCAGGGTGTTAAATCGGCAAATACGGTATGGTACAAAGATGCTACCGGTAGTAGTCGTTATGTTTGTAAACCTTTCAGTCCTGCCTTACCCTGGCGATGTCTGATGAAGGGACTTGCAGGGATGTGAAAGTTGATTTACATGTATATGTATTACATCAGCATAATTCAACACAACACTGCTACGGTATGCATTTTGACAATCCAAACAAACGGTTATGCAAAAAAAGGGGTTGTTCGCTTGTGAGGCACTCATGAGGCAGCCACAACATGTTCACTGGTTTGCCTTGCTGGTACTTGTGCTGCTGCTGATGCACGAAGCCTTGCGATCAGCCTTTTAGTGGCTGGGGAGGGGAGCATGTTAGTGCAGGCATGTGAGTGGGATTTGGAACAGAAGGAAGGTGAGGGTGGGCACAAGGAGGTGAGGGAGGAGTGAGAGCAGTTGCGAGGTGGAGGAGGGTGAGGCTTCAGAAAGGGAGACGAATTAGTGGAGGCTGACGGGGAGAGAGAGGTGTATGAGGAAGACGGGGAGGAGAGGAGTTGCGAAGGG